CAACCCCTAACCGCAAATGTGCCTAATTTTTCGTTGTTATCCTTTGTTGCTGCTGTCCTCGATTTGTCTGTCCTTCGGAGAATGGCGGTCTCCTAATAATGCGTAAAATTTAATGCACCATCCCGAGGTTTCGCTAGGCAAACAAGCTTCACTTCACTTTACTCCAATCGCGACAAGTGATTCCGAGATTTACGACTTTTTGGGGATGGTCCTGTCCTAGTCCTTTGGCACGGGTGTCCTTTTTGTTGTGCTAATGTTTGGCGTTTTTATGGCTTGCAGCAAATTTGATTTATTGGCAGAACTTTGCAAAGTTGTGTAAAGTTTTTTGAAGGAGAGTTCATCATATAATTGATGCGATTTGCGGTTCATAAAGTGCAATTGCCTGTAAAGTGACAAAAGCCAGGCAAGACAAATGCTCTAACACACATGGGAGGATATTTTTGTGGCCTCACAAGAATGGCATTCACTTAGTTTATAGTAGAAATATCATTTCTTTATTGTATGCCCCTGCAAGCCCATATTGAAACCGATGATTTTAGCTCTTACCAAACAAGTTTAATTAAAATAAACATTATTTAAATGTAATTTTTAAAATAAAAATTCAGGGTAATTTTATCATCTTTATATATAGTAATGTTTATAATGTTATCATTATCATTAAATATTTTATAATCTCTACAAAAAAACATAAATTCAATTATGTTAATTTCAATTTTAAAAAATAAAATTTAGAATAAAAGTTTAATAGATTAAATCATCTTATTAAATTGAAAAAAAGTCTAAAAATGTTTTAGAAATATCTGAAACTTTTTTATTATCTACACAGAAGCGTTGGAATTTTATGTTCCCAAAGACAGTTTAAACTAGATCAGATCACCTTTCGGATCGCCCTTCTCCAAACCGAACTGTGTCACTGCAAAACGTTGGTCTGTTGTTTGTCTTCCCGGGAGATCTGCTCATTTCCCATGCCAAACGGCATGGATACAGATACAAAACCCAGACGACAACGACGACGACTTCAAGTCGGCCTCATTAGGTGACCCAAAGTGTCCGAAACTATGCAATTTACATGCACAGAAGCCCCTCGGAGATAGAACCCACGAGGGCCAATAGACCGTGGAAGATAACAGCGGAACTGGAACTCAAACCGAACCGACCGACCGACTAGACACACTAAAAATATACCAAAAAGCCAGTCCCGAGCGAATTATGTTGTACTGGGGGCTTTCAAAGGGGTTGGAGGAGCTGAGTTGACTATCCCAAAGATCGTTGCGGGGCGATACATAAAATTTGAATGCGTTTTGCATACATTAACCCACTGTTGCCCACTGTGGTGCCCACTGTGCCCCGGGGGTGACTCTGACTACGGTGGGTAACGGTGGTCAGCAGTTGACCAACGGCGACTAGAAAATGTGTTTATTAAATTTTATGATTATTGGCCGGCAATTGAGCAGCTTGCCTTGGGAATGTGTCTCCCCGTATTTTTTCTTTTTTTTTTACCACCATTTACTCCATTTCGATTGTGAAAATTGAAATTTTATGCGCACAAGCTCCGAAGAGAAGACCCTTTCCATAAAACCAGTCGAGAAATGGCCTGAAATTCTCACGCGTAACTGGAGCAGTTTTCGGTTTGCGTTGGCAATTCAATTTACGTTTCCGAAATGCTAATTAACCCGGCCAAGAAGTAGAAGGTTTATTTTTGGGTGTTACACATGTTCCACCGTTGTTTTGGGATCTGCCTAATGTGCCACAAATTGAAAGTCATTAAGATTTTACGAGGCCCCCTGAAAGAACTGTAAACACGTTCCGACGTTCCCTTTGACAGACATCAATCAGTGGCTCATTACGAATGCACAAGTTGGCTTTAAGAAAGCGCCAAGCGGACTTTGGTCTAGTTCTTAAAGATGAGAGGTGTTTTTTGGTAAAGGAAAACTAATTAGAGAAATATTTTGGGGAGGCGGCGGCGGTTGGTACACATCGCTGGACAATTTCGAACGCTCCTCAAATTGGCAACTAAGCAAACTTGAAAGCTGACAGAGCTGGTCCATCCAGTCAGCAGTCAGGTCTACACGCCCACTTTTTCAGGGGGACTATTTGTTGTTGTGACTGCTTCGTTATGCAAATTTCCCGCAGAGCTAAAAACAGAAAAAAAAAACAAAAAACCATCGTGAAAACAAAAGACAGAAATGAAAATTTTGAGCTATATAATGGTAAATATATATATCTTTTATATATAAACCGAATGCAAATTGTATATAAAGAAATGACGGAAAAGACAAATAACATGGATGGACGACAACAAATTTAAACGACGGATTTCTTTGGCTCCCATCTTTGTTTTTTCCCCGCTTCTGCGGAATAAATAATAAACGTAAACGAATTAAAAACGCTGGCCGAAAAACGAGAGGAAGGTCCTCGAACTGAAGTCCTGTCCTTTCGATATTTTCCAGTTTACTTCGGTCGCAACGAGAAATCATCAAAGTTCTCCTCCGACTTGGCTTTGGTTTTTGTTTACTTAAACCAAGTTTATGCGGCTTTCAATTAGTTTTAATTGAAATTCCTTTTGGCCGAGGAAAAGCAATTGGACTTTTGCGTTTAATTAAAGTTTTTCGAAGCAATGCTGATTGCGATTGAGTTGGCAAGAGTTAAGATAAAGAGATTATGTTGATTATTGAAATAGGGCCATTAAATAAAGGATTAAATATGTTAAAATATATTATTATTTGTTATAATACTGTTGGGGCTTAATAAAATACATTTATGTAATTGTACAAAATAAAACTACTTTTTAAATTTAAATATTCCAAATTTGATGAATAAGATAAAATATTTGTACTTAAGTTTAAATAGTTATTTTTTAATAGCACTTTGAAATATTCGATTAAGTTAAGTTCGATTAAGTTATTCCAGTTTGCCAAAAAAACCAGTTGCAACTTCTGGCGATATCTTTGGCTAGAGTAATTGTTCCCCTTCAGCTGGCATTAAGGGAACATTTTATTCAATTGCGGCCAGCGTAGAAAAACAAATAAAATTTATTTTTCTCCTTTTGGTGGTCACTTTTGGGAGAGAGCATAAAATAAAATGAAATGATGCGTTGAAAGCAAACAGGGAGCCCTCGGCTACTTTCCTCTAAAAAAGGGGGCGGCGCCAATCCATGTGTGGTTGCCAAAGGATGATTCGTATTCCGGGGTATTCGGGGTGGACTGGAGTGGGATGGTATAACGTTTTTGGCTCAATAGATACATGGTCATGGGGTCCGGGGCCATTTGATGATTTTTGCGTCACCGTTGGTCAAAATCATTTCGAGCGCAAGCAACTGGAAACTGTATAAAAATAATGAAAAAGGGAGCGAGAAGAGCGCAGCAGCGTGGCAACGAAAGCAACTTGAAATAAATGGTCAAAAGAAATAAACAGTCCCATAAAGAATAATCATTCAGAATTCTGCTGAATTATGCATGAGGCAGACGGTCCGTGGTCCATTGGTCCACAGTCCACTGTCCATCGTCCAGGAGCAGCAAACTGGACGCCACTCCAGAGGCGGGGGCAGTCCAAGGAGCAGCAGGGGGTGTGGCACTCACATATGCGAAAAGCCCCTCCCGAAAACCCCAGCCCCCAACCCACTCGCTGAAGCATCATTTTCCTCTTTATTATCTGTTTGCTTAGCTGTGAGTGTGTGCTGGATTTTTATCAGCCTTCTAAGCAGTTAGCTGGGCACAGCGAGAAAATACTAATATTCATTTTCGTTCTTTATACATTTTTAAAAATAGCAATATAACAGAATTTTCTTTAGAGATTTCAAATCTCAGTTTGCACGAATAAATAAATAAATAATTATTTTCATTGTTAAGCAAATTGAAGCTTAAAATATTTTTCTTTTTCTAAAATAACACGATTCAGTATAGCTATTTCGAAAAAAATCAAATAAATATATAAAAAGAAATTAAATTATATAAAACAAAACTTTTGGAGCTAACAAATCATTAAAACTTAATAATTAATATAACTCTGGTTGTTAATAAATAAAAATAAAAAGGGTGTGGAAATAAAATTTGAAAGTTTTTGGTATCTTAGTATTATGAATCATAAATTATGTGCTTAGTGTTTAGAAATCAGGGATATTTGTTTTTAAATTTTCGCAAAATGTTCGATAACCGTTGCTTAAATAGACTTTTTTTTCAGTGCATAAACCAAGTTCCTCTTCTATTTCTTCGGCGGAGGTGAAGCGTCAGGGGCGGTGGCGCTAGGAGTGTCCCGCGGAGAAAGAAGTTCGGCCTGCTCGGTGGCGCTTGGCCAAAAGTCAACCAACATTCGCATAATTTTCGATAAAGCTTTTCGCCAAATGAAATTCAAGTGGTTACACATGTCTCACAGCCACCCAACCCAACGCCCCAACCCAGGGCAGCGATTTTCGGTTTGGTCATTTTTCTTGGACACCCCCTATATAGCAGTTCCAGCAACCCCGACTTCTTTCCAAGTCATGCTCATTTCCACATTATATGCCGCATCTGATTATCTCCGTTTGTGTTGTTTGTTTGCCTAGTTTCTTTTGTAGATTTCGTTTGTTTGCCTGATTGTTTGTTTTTTTTTTGCCGAAAAATACTGATAATAAAAGGTAATGATGGGGGGCCTACCTATATGGGTTATCTCTTTGTTAAAGGGCAGCAATGAATCGTCGGATTGGAAATGGAAACTTTAAGTTTTGATAAAGCAATTGTCAAGGGGATGCTAATTGTGATTGTTCAAAGATTACTCTCAATTTAGATTAGACAATTACAAATATTTTATTTTTTGTATACTCTTTATTTAAAATTAAAAATAATCCTTTATGTTAAAACCATGTTTTGGAATGAAATTTTTAATTTCTAATTTTTCACTGCAAAACTGTGTAATCTTTTCCATTATTCAAAATATTTACTCAGGCTGTGCGACAAGTAGTAATTAAAACTTTCCAGGTCTCGTCGACCTTATACAACATGTTAATAAATACGGCGGTGTTTTGTCTGGATCCCTCAGTTGGGCTCAGCACTTATTCGAATCGGTTTTGTAGGGGAGGGCGAGTGAAACCAACTTATCAGGTAGACAACCGCAGCAGACGCTTATGCCTGCGGTCGCTTCGATTGCATCAGATGAGGTGCGAAATCGCAATCGAAATCTGTGCCAAAGGGAAAAAATAAAAATAATAATCGAAAATCAGTTGATCACATGGCAAAGTTTTTCCGAACCTATAAACAAGTGGCTTGTAATTAAATAGATGGAATGGCGGCTATAATTAGCACAAGTGATTAGTTGGCGACTGGAGTGGAATTTGTTTATTGTTTACGATCGGCAATCGTGCGATCGAGAGCAGATCGGATCGGATCGATCAACCCTCGCGTGATAGCGCTCCACTGGGGGCCTCTGCAAATAAGCGTATTTTCGCGATAGCACAGCCCATTTAAATTGCAAAAGAAAAACATAATTTAATCTGTTATTGTTTACGCCAAAAGTGTATGGAAGGAAAACACTTCTAAAATGCGTCAATGAACGCATTTTCCTTCGTGCCGATAAGCAACAAAGTGTCAACATAGGGGTAGTGGGGATTATGTAAAAGCACCGAGAAAAAGAACCCTGTCTCCAAGGGGGGCCCTTAAAAAATAATTAAACTTTGATCTTGAAATGTGCATGTGCCAGCGCATTAAGCTGATAAGCAAGAAAATCAAAGGCGCACATGAGATGGGATCAATGCCGAAGTGAGATGCGTGATTTTGAAGACTAGACGGACATAATGCGGTCATTGAATCTTCGTGATGATCAAAGCCAAAACGTGAGAACAGAATTCAATGTTTATTTGGCATATTTGGCGTAAATCGAACGGGGGTTTCAAATTTCGCCCGACTTGCGTTTCTCGATGCGGTTGCCAGAGCCTCCGGAACCTTCCCGCTTCGTCGCGTCGCTCCAAGATTGCATTCCCAGCCCAACTGATAAGTACGAGTGAATATCAGCTGCCCGCCATATATGTATCGCCGATCGCCGATGATGATGATGATCGGAGGTTTAATTAGGCGCGGCTGTAACATGAACATTCATAATTCCGCTGGCATTCAATCAATGCAGACGTGAACAATTCCAGTGATCAAGTGATCGACTTAGCCAGCGATCTCGTGCAAAGTGTGCAGTGTCTCAATCCCACTCAATAACAATTTCCACAAAAGGTGGTCGCACAAGAAAATCGATACTCAAAGCATATAAGTAATTAAAATCAGAGGAAATCATGGCGCAAAGTGATTCGGGAAATTGCTGTGCCAAGCTCAGTAATGGTAAGAATAATTAATTAGTTAACTAGGCAGTGAAATAATTAATTGTGGCATTTCTGGAATAGATGAGGTCTGCTGCCAGCAGGCAAAGGATGTGGCTCCAAAGGACATATCGCCAAAAGTGTTTCCCGACAAAATCTACAAGTCCGTTCAGCCAAAAGGGGAAGATGCCACTGGCATGACCTGCGAATGCGGAGTTTTTGGAGCCATCGCTTGTGGGGATTATCCAACTCAGGTGAGCTGAAAGTTATTATGTGAACAATAACAAAAACAATCGAATAACAATAAATAAGTATTAATTAAAGTTAAACAATCAAAAGAAAACATCAAAATAATTTAAAAAAATTTGTTTGGCAATGACACACATTTTATTTTAAAAAAGATTTTTTAAATTGATTAAATTTATTATTTAAAAGTTTTTTGTGATTTTAAAATGAAAAATCGTGAAAACAATTACTTGGAAAAATATAAGATATTTATATAGTAACATTTTTTTTTAAGAATCATTTAAAAAAATTATGTGAAATGTGCGTCTCAAAAAAGTATTTACCACATAATCTTATTAAATAATTCCAAGCTTTAGAAAGATCACAATCACTTAGCAGCTAATAAATAATAAATATTACCAGTCTAACAGTAGATAACCGAAACCACCGCCTACGATCTCCACCTTTGTATACGATTACCCCACGAAATGTCGATCACGAGAGATCAAAAACTGAAAACGATCATTGAGCCTGTCATAGCTAAATTCCATGCTGCATGGTCGTACGTCAGACGTATGCAAATCGGCTGGCAAGTGGGTCAATGGTAGGCCTCGTATCACAAATCCACTAGATCCATCGGATCTACCCCCTGCCGATCCTCTAACGATTCCGTATCTGTGTTTCTGTGGCCAATGCCCAGAGGCTGTGGTGGTGACGTCAATGAGATCGAATCGAATATTGAATCGAATCCATGCACGCGGTTTGGTTTGCGGTTGTAATCTCTGTTGTTCATGTTTTTATTGCCGACTGTAATGAAATGGAAAATAACAGAAATTGCTAGCGCATTCTCGATCGGGAAATGACATCCCGTTATCGGTTTTTCTTCTCATGTGACTGCAAGTCAACAGCCAAATAAAACTCACCTATTGAGCTTATTATAAAAGGATTTTTTTTTAGGGATTTTTAGATAATGTTGTTGAGGGTAGATTAACTTAGGAAATTTAGCCTTGTTCAAAAAAAAATATATCTATAAATATTTCTGGCATCTACTCTTACAGTTTTAACTTTAAATTCATTGTAAATATTCTACTTTTGTATTTTTTAATTACATTTGTAAAGATTTTTCAACCTATTTTTAATATATTTGTTAGGAAAAAATGGTTTATATTCTTAATTTTAAACACGTTAATTTTTGGTATTAACAATTTACCACTTACTTATATAATAAAAAACAAGCCCTAACTAAATGAGATTTTTCTGCTTTCAGCTGGACATAGCACAAATGATTTGCCTGGGTCTGGTGGCTCTGCAGCATCGTGGCCAGGAATCGGCGGGCATAGTGACGAGCCTGGGAAAATCCTCCAAGAACTTTAGCGTGCACAAGGGCATGGGCATGATCAACAATCTGTTCAACGACGAGGCGATCAAGAAGTTAAAGGGCAACCTGGGCATAGGACACACTCGTTATTCCACGGCAGCAGCCTCGGAGGTGGTGAACTGTCAGCCCTTTGTGGTTCACACTGCCCACGGAGCCCTGGCGATTGCCCACAATGGAGAGTTGGTCAATTGCGAATCCCTCAGAAGGGAGGTCCTGGAGCGAGGAGTTGGTCTATCCACGCACAGTGACAGCGAGCTGATTGCCCAATCCCTGTGCTGTGCCCCCGAGGACGTGTCCGAGCACGATGGACCCAATTGGCCGGCCAGGATCAGGCATTTTATGACCCTGGCTCCGCTCTCATACTCCCTGGTGGTGATGCACAAGGACAAGATCTACGCTGTAAGGGATTCCTATGGTAATCGACCTTTGTGCTTGGGAAAAATAGTGCCCGTGGATGCGGGACACGCGAATATCAACGATCAACTCGCTGAGGGTTGGGTGGTTAGCAGCGAGAGTTGCGGCTTCCTGTCCATCGGAGCCCGATATGTCCGCGAAGTGGAGCCCGGCGAGATCATCGAGTTGTCGCGGAATGGCTATAGAACGGTGGATATTGTGGAGCGACCCGATTACAAACGCATGGCCTTCTGCATCTTCGAGTACGTGTACTTTGCCCGCAGCGATTCCATGTTCGAGGGTCAGATGGTTTACTCGGCGCGTCTGCAATGTGGTCGCCAGTTGGCCAGGGAGTTCCCATTGGATGCGGATCTGGTCAGTTCGGTGCCGGAATCGGGCACAGCAGCTGCTCATGGTTATGCCAGGGAATCTGGCTTGCCCTTCGGTGAGGTCCTGTGCAAGAATCGCTATGTGGGTCGCACCTTCATTCAACCCTCCACAAGATTAAGGCAGCTCGGAGTGGCCAAGAAGTTTGGTGCCCTGGCTCAAAACGTTGAGGGCAAGAGGATCGTACTCGTGGATGATTCCATCGTAAGAGGTAATACCATTGGACCGATCATCAAGCTGCTGCGCGATGCCGGAGCCACCGAGGTGCACATCCGGATTGCCAGTCCACCGCTGCAATATCCCTGCTATATGGGCATAAATATTCCTACCCGGGAGGAGCTGATAGCCAATAAATTGAACGCCGATCAGTTGGCGGATCATGTTGGGGCGGATAGCCTGGCCTACTTGAGTGTTGAGGGTCTGGTGAAGGCCGTCCAGATGAACAAGGCCCATGTTAATCCGCTGAAAGCGGGATATTGCACCGCCTGCCTAACGGGCGAATATCCTGGCGGATTGCCCGAGGAGCTCAGCTGGTAGACTCCCGGGCGTTTATATCTCTTCTTTAGGTTTAACGTAGTTCGTAGCTTGAGTGTGTATATAAAAAAATATATATTTAAATTTCGGGTCTTTGACCCAGCACAAAAGCATTGTTTTTAATTAAACATTCAGGGGGGGAATTTTTTGTGGAGATAAGGAAAAATACGTATGACACATAATATTTTAAAGCTTTAAAATTGGGTCAGGAATATTTCATAGGAGATAGAATTTTAAAACAAATTAAAAATAATAAACAAATTCAATACAATTATATAAAAATACATGATTTTTGGGAAAAAATTGTAAAGGTAAAAAAATGCAAAATATTTATTATTATTTTGTATATTTTAAAATATTACAGAAAATAAAAAAAATAAAATATAAACAAAATTGTAGCTCCGAATTAACAAATATATTTAATAATTTAAAGATCTACTTTCAAATTTAGTGACAAAAGATCAAATAGATCTGCTTTCGGGTGGAGCAATTTTTTCAATTTTCTTTTCACTGGCAAAATTTAATTCCTGACTTTTATATGGCTTTCTGGCGGGTAAGAAACACATACTCTAAATGCTAATGGGCCACATCAACGTCTGATTATTTCCAAAACTGTCTAATGCCATAACTTCAATTCATTTCAATTTATATTTGCAAGCTTTGTTTGCCGAGGGATCCATGGGGAGGAAGTAAAGTCGCCCGCTTCCGGTTATAGCCGAGCTCTCAGATATGGCCTCATATCATACAATATGGTAATCGTGTTTGCTTTTTTCGCTCTGTCTCTTTCCGGCTCTCCCTTTCTCTCGGAGACTCCCCATTTGGGGCGTTGCAATGTCTAAAGCGGGGCGTTTAGGGCGTTTAATCCTGCGGAAGATGTCCTTGCGGTTGTGCAGAGGGGGCTATCCTTCGTGTCCTCTCTCATCGTATATAACTTTTTTTCTTCTTTTTATGACTCGCGCCGGGTACTGGAGTCAACAATGTCATCATTATTCTTGAATATTGTGTTGTATTTTCGCAAACAATTTCGCTAAGCTGCGCGGCATTGGCAAAGCCGGAAAAGGGGGTGGCAGATTTACGGGGGTGGGAGCGGGTGTCCTCTGGCTGAAGTGTGGCGAGGACATAAGAGAAGAAAATAATATGCACTGTCATTGTAACTCGCTTGATTAATTCTTGTGTAGGGTATCCATCCTTTGCAGTTCGGTTTTGGGTTTTCAAAAAGGCAAATATTAATTAAATATAAATCTAAACGTATTTAACAAACTTTTCAATTGAGACCAACACTTTATATTTATTGTTTGCAGTAAAATAAAACAATCAAAACTGCAATTTATTCTTTTAAAGAAAAATATTTGTTTTTAAATATAGTACAAATTAAAAAAAAATGTTTTACAAATGCAAATATACTTTTTAGTATTGCAACTCATTTTAAAATATTTTAAAATTAAATAAAATTCTTTCCTGGATTTTCTTTTGTTATTCGCCAAAGTTATAGAGCATTCTCTTCGTCCTGTCAGCTTCCTTTTTACGTTGGATCTCCTTCACCACTCCATCTGGGCACTCACCAAGTGGCTACATAAAAGAAACGACTCCTGGCAACATTGAAAACAGACGCTGGCACTTCTCTCCAACACACCAAGCGCCGTTTGCTGCTACAAGGATACAAGGAACGAAGGACCAAGATATCCGTGGAAAAAAAATATATAGAGAGAAGCGTTTGCTTATGTGCGCCGTCGTCGATCACAAACACAAACATCCTGGGCCCACTGCCGCAGACAGTGACAACTAAGCAGAGCCATATTGCCAGGACCCAGATACACCCCCTTAAAACGCCCGAGAAACCACCAGAGAAACCCCCCACTCTGCGCCGCAAAACATGCTTTAAATTTTTTAATAACGCCGGGCTACAAGAGCGCTGACGCCCACGTCCGGACTTGGGATCCGGACTTGGCTTTCGTGCCCGATGACGACAGCCGGCCCCGCCCCTCCGCCCGTTCCGCCCACCGTCGTCATTTGCACAGAAGTTATGTAAATTAATGTTTACTTAAGTTCCCCATGTTATTTCTTTCTTTTTTCGCCTTGCACTTTCACAATGTTTCCTACTTCAAAAACAAAAGCAGACAGCGGGTCTAAAAATGGTGAGGGGGATTGGAAAAAAAAATTGCAATAAATTTGGCAGCCGCTCTGCAATTTAATAAAAAGCTTTCCTTCGGCCGGGAGGGGGAAATATAAACAATCAAGCTTATTATTGAGTCAAATGGCTGAGTAAATATATGAGCCAAAATTATGGCAATGGCATGCAAATGTAACGGCCGGAGATGAGGATTATGAAGCCATTATCCAAACACTTGATGGGAATTGTCGCCGCAGAAATTTAATTTAAACATCAGCGCCGGAGGCATCGAAGCCATATCCTTCTGCCACTTGACACATGCAACAAGTGAGTGAGTGGCAGGGGGATAACCACACGAACCACAAGGAGCCGTCAAAAGGCAAACAAAGGACTCCTTGCTCCAGCTCGATGTCCTTCGCATTTCCCTATCCCGTTTTTCCTTCCTTCAACCGATAGGCACGCAAAACGTGCCCGGCATGCAAGACATGCGATGGCCAAAACGACAACGTATCAAATGTAATTTTCTGGCCAATAGAACACTTTGTGGCCTCCCAGGATCCCAGGAACATCCTTTCTCCAGTTCATTAGCAAATCAAACTTCCGTCGTTTCGGCCTCAAGACATTTGTGGCATGTGTCCGACTCAAAAAGGCACGAAATTCCTGTCCACTGAAATTTGCATTCCTTGACCCTTGCTCAGGAGGACTAGAAAACTTCTTGTCAGCTGGTAATTTGATTTAAGGACTTTGGCTTGACCAGATAAACGGAAGAAGATAAGTGGTCAGCAGGGACTGGCAACATATTGTCTGGTAATTATTTAGAGTAGTAAATATTTATCACTTAATTTTAATGTACCTATATTAAATCAATTTCTTAAAGGATTTGTTAAAATGAAATACAAAATAGTGAGTCTAAAAATTTAAAACATATTTTTTTTTAGACAAATTTTTTTGTTTTTTAAATTTTGCAATAAAGTTGAATATTTTTACATTTTTGTTGATGGTTAATTGTATTATTTTATTAAAAAATACATTTTATATTTAATTTAGAGTCCATATTTAAACTGAATTTTTTCTATTATTTAAATTAATAATTTAAATAAATACAAAATACAATGCAAACAATGCAAACCCTCCCAAAAGTTTTTAGGAACAAGGATTTAATGTCCCTTTTAAAGCATTTGGCTGGCTAATTTTCCATTCCCAAAAATGGAATCTAATCAAATGTCCTCCCCTTCCATTTCCTTCTTTGGCTTAGCTTCAAAAAGAATTTGCATAATATTTTTAGACGCAACGGAATAAAGTTTTGCGAGCGGACCATCCAGACGACTGAACAACATTTCCACAACTTTGCGTTAATTTTCTAAATATTTTCTAAATTTTCCAAATTGCATTTGGAGCAGCCACGATGGAAATGAAAATGGAGATGCCGCAGGGCAATCCCAAGAAGCCAGGTTGCCGTGCTCCGGCTCATTTTAGCAGCAGAGAAAAACTCATCCCCACCACCCACAACATCAACCGAACAAGTTGAATTTTATAATTCAAAATTATGAACTAATATAATTTAATTTTAGTGGCTTGCACGCAGAGCTCCGACGATGATGGAAAACCCAGAGGGGGATTGGTGGGGATTTTCTGGGCGGGGACACAGGCAGGAAATTAAGTGCATTATACCCTTTATATATATAATAATGTTGGTTATTGTGCACAACAGCAAATACAACAAAAGCGCGTTGAGGTAATAAATATGTATGAAGCCTGTGTTTGTGCACCAAAGAATGCAATTTCCCTCGAATCAAAAACGAACAACAAAAAAGGGGGCGGGTGGGGCCTTCATTTGACATCGCGTGCTTTGGTGCGATTTTCCCGCTGCATTGGCCAATTCTGAAGAGCCAGCAAAGATAATAACGATAATTAAGGCAATCGGCAAACCAAATCTCTGATTTGAGTGACATGCAACAACAAAATAATTCACAGCCAGTGCGTCAAAGTGTGTGTTTCCGTGTGTGTGTGTGAGCCAGAATAAAGCCGCCATTTTGGGGGCTGTTACACTTCCGGCCATCATTGTCACAGTGTGCGACAATGCATGATGAAAGCTGACTGAGATTTGGATGCACTTTGAGAAATTTTGCAAGAAAAATGGGATCATTTAAATATTTTAATATTAGATAAAAATAAGTCAAATTTTTATTAAATAGGTGGGGTCTTAAAATTCCATTTATTACAAAATTTAATTTCAAACTAATAAAATTAGTTTAACGTGGACAAAAGAAATGTAATGATTATAAAAGTTTAGATTTTCAAGAAATCGTTACAATAAGGTTTGTTCTTAAAATTCTATGTATTACAAAATGAATGGACCAAATAAATGTAATGATTATAAAAGTTTAAGTTCAGAATAAATATTTTTACTTTTCTAAAAGTTATTTTATTATTTTATAAAGAATAAATTTTATATTAAACTTGGGGTGTATATTTGAATCAAGGTAAATTGTTAAGTGGTCAGATCTATTTAAATAATTATTTTAATATTAATATTAATATTATATCAAAAACGAACATAAATTGTTTGGGGCTCTGTTGAAATACTTTCTTTATTTAACTAATGAACAGATTTTATGCGTGTCACTTGCAGATTTAATTTCCACAATTACAAAGTCCTTAATTGATGCATTACACCTGTTTTCCCTCTCTGCATGGAATATTCAATTGGCTGGATGGACTTTTCTGATGATTGTTGGGGTGTAGGCAGGTAATTCTTTTTTATTTTTTTATTTTTGTATTTTCCCCTTGTTGATGTGGTGGGGCGGCAGTTGAGCACCTGGGCGACTTGCATCTGTTGTGCTTCCCATTGCGTGTAAGTTCATTATGTTGCCCCAACAGTTGTTGTTGTTGCTCTTGTTCATTGTGTGCCTGATACGCCCAACAACAACAGCGAAAACAATAAAAGCAACAACTATCACAGGCAAACAACAACAACATCCGCAGTCGCAGTTGTCTGGC